GCGCGATCTCACGCGGGCAACTTACGACCCAATGTCAATGTCGGTCAAGACGAACCCGTGATCTCGAGCAGGAACCGGCCGTCCCGGCATTTCTATAGGCCTACCACGACGTGTTCTGACAACCCAGACATGCTCCAAGAGCGAACAAAAGTGTTCTCGTAACAGGACCCGATGTGTAAAAACAAGACAGACTCAGAACATGCCGCGCAGACCACAAGAGGCTCTCAGAACATCATCCGGTGGGCCTCTTCTAGGCGAGCTAGGACGTTTCGACACTGCTCGATTGTCCTTTGTCGCTCAGATGTGTCTCTTCGATCCAGGCGCCCTTCCTTGATGTGGAGCGGCCAAGAGGGGGGTGTCCAAGGGGGGGGGTGCAAATCATGACGGGCGGCATGTGCGCGGCCCAGCGCGGGGGCCAGGGACGTAATAAATCATGACGGGCGGCATGTGCGCGGCCCAGCAGGGGGGGCCAGGGACGTCATGAAATAAGAAGAGGGGCCATGAAATCTGGGGAACTATCATGGCCCACGCCATGACATCCAAGCCCCCTCTAGTCATCACCCCCCTCTGTGCCGCCCGCGAAATCCGGGCGCCCTTCCTTGACTTCGGCCGCCCCGGCCCGTCGCCGGGCCTGGGGGGCCAGCAAGACCGGACCCGGGGCGGACGGCGGACCTCGGGGAGGGGCTCGGGGCCTCTGGTAGGAAGGCACCAACTATACACCAACACCGATCCTGGCCCAGGATCACCCTGGGCCCAGGATCGGTGTATACGCCCTCCGGCCTTGCGCAAGAAGGCATATACACCGATCCTGGGCCCAGGGTGATCCTGGGCCAGGATCGGCGTTGGTGTACAGTTGGTGCCCTCCGATCTGGGGCCGCCGATGGACACCACACAGAATCCGGGACGCGGGCCTCTGTCGAGCATGCCCCGGCGGCGCGGGCACGCCTCGTGCCGCAACCGGCCCCACATCTTTCCCTCCCCGACCCCCCGCCCAGCCACGCCCGTTGACTCCAAGCTCTTTTGACTGATAAAAAAAGTGTGTGTGTGTGTGTGTGTATATATATGTATATATATACACACACTCACACACACACATATATATATATATATATATATATATATATATATATATAAATATATATGTATGTATATATTATGTTTGTTTGTTTCGAGGGCTCCGGCCGCAGCGCGCGCCGTGAGCCCGCCCAGGCCCCCCCCTTGGTTGGGCGCCCTGCGGTGGACCCCGTGGGCCCCCCTGCGAGATGACCGTCTCAGAGGCCTCCGCAAAGGGTCCAACTCGATAGAGTCTCGCACCTCATCGCCGATGCATCAGCGATGCATCGGCGATGCATCGCCGACGTCGGCGACGCATCGGCGACGTCGTCGTGGAGAAAATCGGGCCCCGCATCGAGCCGCTTCGTCACCGCATCGGCGATGCGGTGCGATCCACCGACCCCGTCTACTCGGACGCCATCTGGGAGGTCTAAACTTAAGTCGGGCCTGTCCACCTACAGGCGATTCTGGACGAAACATGAAAAGTAGCAGAAACATAACCCCAAATGGTCACAAAAAAAAATCAAAAATAGTCCCAAGCTATTTTCTTACCATGTTTGAATGTTCCTCCTGTAGAGGGACAGGCCCGACTTCAGCCCAGACATCTGCCTTGGGGCCCAGCCCATGGCTCCGTCGCTGGGCGGCGAGCAGGGATCCAGCAGGCGGTCGGCTCGCGGAAGGTACGCGTCGGGGGCGAAGTGGGCACAGCGAAACTTGCCATCGCTCGGACGTCCATTTCCCATGCAATGTTCGGCTTCGTGCGTGTTTTTTTTGTTTGTTCTCTGCTACCGCAGCGAATGGTCGCGTCCAGATGAGTCTGTGGACGTGACGTCCAGCCAAGCCTAAGACTCAAGACCGACTCCAGCGAAGACGATTGAAGAGGACTTCGTGCGTGTGTTTTTTGTTTGCTCGATGGTCCGGGCTGGTCCTCGATGGTTCTCGCCGAGGAAAAAAATACACGCGTCCGAGCGATGCCAGGGAGAGGGCGGGCGGGAGGAGAAAGCGGGGGAGAGCCGCGAGACGGTCGGGGCGCCCTCCGAGCCTGAAGAACTCCTGGAGATTGTCTTCGGCGGCAACTCGTGGGAGCCTTCCGTAGCATCCTGTCGGCTCTTGCGAATCGACGCTAATCGACGCTAGTCGACGCTCATCGACGCCAAATCGACGCTAACCGACGCTAAGTCGGCGCTATCTCGTCGACTCCCAAATGCAATCGGCGCTGATCGGCGCTGCAGTCGGGATTAAGAAGATACACCAAGCTTCCATGAGTTGCTACTGCCAAGGTCAGGCTCCGGTGGTAGACGAAGTCCGCGCGGGAAAGACATCTGACGTCGTCACATCTTGGCGAGCCTCCCCCAAAGGCCGAGACCTGCCCCAAAACCCCTGCCTCCGCTTGTGTTTGTCCACGACGCGAGGAGCTACAGTCGACCCGTACCATAAGGATGCGCGATATAAGGATGCAATGGCCCTGGACGCCCACTTCGAAGCTTCTCGAGCGGGGCGCGGCCAACGAAAGTGGCCACGGATGGACCGAGGAGGCAGGGAAGCAAGGGTACCCTTGAGAAGGTTGCCCATCCTAACTGTGCGGGTTGACCGTATTGCCTTCGGGCCACAACCTGGGCATCGCTCGGACGTCCATACCCTGTGTTTTTTCCAGTTTCGCGCGTGGCTTTTTGCCAAATGATCAAGGATGCTCCTCGATGGTCCTCGCCGCAGGAAAAATGCACACGTCCGAGCGATGCCAAGCAACTCGGGGCTCCTGCGGCCGCTCGGGGCACTCCGGGCAGCCCTGGAACGCGCTCGGCGAGGAGCAGCGGCCCGAAGGTATGCCGACGCGGGAGCGCCTCCGGGAACCCATGGAGACACGCGGAAGCCTTTTCCACCTCGCCCCATGGTTGCCGTGACTTGTCACGGAGCCTCGAACCTCGAGCCAGGCAGCCGCGCAGCGCTCTCGGCGAGGCGCCGATGCTGCAGAAAGCATCCCAAGGCGAGGATCCCGCGACAAAAACGTCCGAAGGCCTCGCCGAGCAAAGTTCCATCCTGATGTGTGCCACGGCGCGAGGATTTCATGGAACGGTTGCCCCCTCACTTCACCCACCTCGTCCTCCGCCTCTCCTCCGCCTCGCCCTCCGACGCCAGTTCCTCGCTTCTCCCTCCTCGCCCTCCTCGCTGCACCTCCTCGCCCTCCCACTCCATGTCGTCATCCTCCTCCTCCTCCTCATCCTCCTCCTTCTCGCCCTCCTCCTCGTCCTCCTACTCCACGTCGTCCCCCTCCTCCTCCTCCTCGTCCTCCTCGTCCTCCTGCTCCTCCTCCTCCTCCTTCTCCTCCTCCTCCTGCTCCACCTCGCCCTCCTGCTCCTCGTCGTCCTCCTCCGTTCTGCTGCAGGTTCCGATCAGGAGGGGGAAACACACACAGACACAGTGCATCTGCGATCCCCAGAGAATATGGCCCTCGTCCTCCTCCTCCTCCTCCTCCTTCTCCTCCTCCTCCTCTTCGTACTCCGCTTCCTCCTCGCCATCCGGCTCCTCGCCGTCGCCCTCCTCCCTCCCCCCCCGCCTCGCCCTCCTCCCTCCCTCCCTCCCTCCGCTGGTCCACCGCCTCTCCCGCCTCTCCCGCCTACCCCTCCCCCCTCCTCCCTCCCTTCCCGCCTCGCCTCCGTCCCACCCGCTCCTCCCCCCGCCCCCCCGCCTCTCTCTCGCCTCTCCCTCCCTCCCTCCCCGCCCTCCCTCCCTCACGCCTCCCTCCCTCCCGCCTCCCCCGCCTCCCCCGCCCCTCCCGCCTCTCCCTCGCCCTCCCTCGCCCTCCCTCCGCCATGAAACGCTGCACGCGGCGCGAGGATGCCAGAGAGCGGCGGCGAGCGAGGGGGGGAGCGAGCATAGGGGAACGAACAATGACATGAACATCAGAACTCGGAGGTCCGCGCGGATTCCTCGGATCCGCGCTGGGCCCCCTTCGGAGCGAGGGGGGGAGCGAGAATAGGGGAACGAACAATGACGTGAACATCAAAACTCGGAGGCCCGCGCGGATTCCTCGGATCCGCGCTGGGCCCCCTTCGGCGGCGCCTCCGGCGCCGCACTCCGCGCGCCAGGGAGGGGGGTCCAGCGCGGATCCGAGAAATCCGCGAGGACCTCCGAGTTGTTATGGTGATGTCATTCTTCGCTCCCCTAAAGTTGTGGATGCCACGACGATGGACACCCTAACGGTCCTACCATTGAATTTAAAATGTGTGTAAAATGTCGGACACAAGTTCCAAACATGGTTTAAGAATGGCTCTGTACATGTTTGAAACATGTGTTTCTTAAAGGTTTTAGACACCTGGGAACTATTTGGCAACACGCTTCCTCTCCATTGTGATCGTCCTCCACAACCCTAGAGAAGGAGAAGCCCTTCTCCGCAGGCGGCGCGGCTTCTCGCGGCAGGCCTCGCGCCGTCTCTCTGTGAGGTCCTGGGCGCGCCTCCCTGGGGGAGGGCGCGGGAAAAACTCCTCGGCAGGCTCGAGCCTCCCGAGACGACCCGCTCCTCCTCGCTTCCCCCCCAGGCGCGCCGCCGACGGTTGCCTCGAGTCGGACCTGTCCCCCTACAGGCCGACTTTGGACGACAGGTTGAAAATGGTAGAAATACCATCAAAAATAATGGCCCGGAAATCGTCCCCCGACTATTTTTTACTACTTTCGAGTATTCTGGTGTATTATGTTGAATATCTTTTTGCTATGTTCGACCATTCCCCCTGTAGAGGAACAGGCCCGACTTATTATTCCTATTCTTATTATTTTGAATATTCCTATTATTTTATTCCTATTTGAAACATTTCGAACATTCCTTATTCCTTATGCCATTTTCGAACATTCCTATTCTTATTATTTTGAACATGTTGTTTTAACTATTTTCGAATCTTCCCCCTGTAGAGGGACAGGGCCGACTTAACGGTTGCCACCCCCCCCTCGTCGGCCTCTGGCCTGCCTCCGCCTGCAGGGCGGCGGCGACCCTCTCGGGCGCGAGGGCGCGCGCGAGCTCGTCGCGCTGGCGGCACAGGTCCCGCACGGAGCCCCTCAGCTCCCTCAGCGGCTCCCGCGCCTCCTCTTCGGAGGCAACTACTGGGAGGTTTTCGCCGGATGGAGTAAGGAGGGCTCCCTCAGCGGCTCCCGCGCCTCCTCTTAGGAGGCAACTACTGGGAGGTTTTCGCCGGATGGATTAAGGAGGATTAGGCCCCACTAGGGGGCTGTTACGCCAGAGTGGGCCTCGGATAAAGCCGGATGAAGCCGGATTATGCAGCATCTTCGGAGAGAAGGGAGGGAACAAGGAAAGGATTAAGCCACATTGGGGGGCTGTTACGCCAGAGTGGGCCTCGGATCAAGCCGGATTACGCCGGATTAGGCAGCGTCTTCGGGGAGGGGGGGAGGGAACAAGGAAAGGCGACATCCACACCAGCAGGGCGAGGAGGTGCGAGGAGGCAAGGGGAGTCTCCCTGGTGGTGTGGTCCACCCCTCTCGCTCGAGACATCCCCAGCATCCAGCTCGGGGAGGCATCGTGGACCTCCTCGCTGGAGGTGGGCCCCCTGGTGGTGTTCGTATCTCTTCTCCTCCCTCCGACTCTGGAGAACGGGCCGCTGCAGATCAGCGGCAACCTTCTGTTGCATCCTCGGGGGGACCTTGTGCGTCCCGTCGCGGCCGCATCCGCGCCGCATCCTTGCAGGAGCCATGTCGGACGCGTCGGACCCGTGTCGAATCTCCGTGTCGCATCCGCGCCGAATATCCACGCCAAAGCCGCGTCGAGTCCGCATCGAGCCCGCTCCGGGCACGAGAAGCGACAGCAGGTTTGGGGGAGAGGCGAGGCCCTCCGAAGACGCAACGAAAGTGGGCCGATGCTGCTGCGGGGCCTCCCCGCCCGAGCACGCGCGGCGGGAGGCCCGCGGAGCGCAGCGGGCACACACACACACACACACACACACACACACACACACACACACACGCACGCACGCACGCACGCACGCACGCACGCACGCACGCACGCACTTAGGCCTCCTGCAGGAGGAGGAGGAGGAGGAGGAGGAGGAGGAGTGTGAGAGAGGGGGGAAGGAGGGAGGGGAGGAGCAGAGAGGGGAGGATAGGAGGGGGGATGAGGGAGGCTGGGATGAGGGGAAGTTGGAGGAGGAGGAGGAGGAGGGAGGAGGAGGAGGAGGAGGCCGCGGCAGGCAGCCGCCACACCCGTCTCGGAGGCCGGAGGCACGATGCCCAGGGTAGGGGCGGCGAGGTCTCTGCACGCAGCAGCAGGGGCCCGACCACAGGACACCTTCCACGGGAGACCCCACCCTGGGGCCCCAAGACGTGCACTGTTGGGCGCCCGAGTTATCCGGGGTAACTCGGGTCCGGGGTAACTCGCGTTCGGATTCCCGAAACAACGAACCCGAGTCAGCCCTGACCCGAGTTACCCCTGATGATTTTAGGGCTCTGGACGCCCGAGTTATCCGGGGTAACTCGGGCCCGGGGCAACTCGGGTTCGGATTCTCGAAAAAGGGACCCGAGTCAGCCCTGACCCGAGTTACCCCTGATGAGTTCGGGGCTCTGGGCGCCCGAGTTGTCCGGGGTAACTCGGGTCGGGGGTAACTCGGGTTTGGATTCTTGGAAAAAAACCAACCCGAGTTAGTCCTGACCCGAGTTACCCCTGATGATTCGGGGCTCTGGACGCCCGAGTTATCCGGGGTAACTCGGGTCCGGGGTAACTCGGGTGTGGGTTCCCGAAAAGCGAACCCGAGTTAGACCTGACCCGAATTACCCCTGATGATTCGGGGCTCTGGACGCCCGAGTTATCCGGGGTAACTCGGGTCCAGGGTAACACGGGTTTGGATTCCCGAAAACGAACCCGAGTTAGTCCTGACCCGAGTTACCCCTCATGATTCGGGGCTCTGACCCACCCTGAGGCCCCAGGACGTGCACTGATGTTCCATGTGGGTTGAGCAGAGGACCGGCCGTCCCGGCATTCCTAGTTAGTCCTGCCACGAAATATTCTTAGAACCCAGAAATGTTCTAAAAAACAATGTCCTTCGAACATAAAGCCCGATGTGTTAAAGCAAGACAGTCCCAGCCAGTAATGTTCTAAGAGCATCTCGTACATACCACTAGAGGTTCTGAGAACATTGTTTGGTAGGGCCATTGTCGGGTCGGGCGAAAGGAGGCGGCCATGTATCGAGGAATGGGCCCCTCGGTGAGGCCGAAACCAGCTGCATGCAGCAAATTTCGTAACTCCCCCTTTCCCAATCCCCCCCTTTCGCCCGGCCCGACATTGGCGAGAGCCAGAACGCTTTGCCACTGCTCGAGTGGGGACGCCACGCGTTCCCACGGCACAGCCCAGGGCACCCTGGAGGCAAGCAGGGTACCTCTTGGCGTAGGTTTCCAGTGTATCGACTGCTCCCGGCCAGGCCCATCCTTCGGCGGTGGACAACCCTCCCTTTTAAGAAACCTGCCCTTAGTGAAAACGGCCTAGACCGAAACCGACGGACCCGGACCCGCAGAAATGACGGCCGCGACGCCCTCTCGCGAACCGAGAACGGCCAATTCCTTAATCGACGTGTCAGGGTAGGAGGTCTGTCCACCCCCGAAGGGAGTGTGGGGAACACCGAGCGTGAATCGGTGATGCATCGCCGAGTAGGCACCCGACAGCGGATCCCCGGGGTCCTGGGCGGGGTGGGCTACTTATTTTATTGCATCCCGGCTGACGCTGCCCCCGAAGTATCGCGAGGAGGCAAGCAGGGCGCCTCTTGGCGCGGGCTTCCCGTGCATCGGCTGCTCCCGGCCAGGCCCCTCCTGCGCCCGGGAGCGGTGTCTGCGCCCTCCTGGCTCGGCCAGGGGGGCATCATGCAGGGCAGGTTTTAATAATGTAATGATTAATACATTGGATGTTTTTTATACACGATTAGCTTACTAATAAATAAATGCATAAGTTCATCATTGTGGTTAATACTAACTCGTTTTAATTCTCATACATGATCCGCACGCGGAGCATGTATTAAAACCGGCGCTGTACACCGCTCCTGTGATTAACCAACAGAGGCCCCCTGACCCTTTCGGAGGGGACCTAAGCTAGGAGGGCCAAAGACACGAGGGAGGAGGAGCCTCTCTGCAGACGCACCACGAGCCTGCTCGCCCAGGGCTGGGCACCCCGGAGGCGACAGGATGGAGAGCCCCGTGAGGCCACGCCTCCCGGGGCTCTCTCTTCTCTCCTCGGTGCTCCCGGGCCCAGGCGGGGCCTGACCGGGCGCAGGGGCTAAACATGCAGACCTCGCCGCCCCGCCAGGTAAAAAACCGAACTCTGTACACCAACGATGTTGCCGGCCCTGCGCTGCAATGCACACAGGAGATCGGATTCTGGTGTATACGGATCCCTGGTGTATACATTTCTCGCTGTTCCCCCGGGAAGACGGAGAACAACGTATACTCCAGATTTCATAATAAAGGGAGGGGGGTCTCATTTCGGGGGGGGGTCTCTTCCAGGCTATCTTGGAGGGCCTGGGGGGTCTGGGGACGATGTTTTGGAGGGTTCTCCCACGGGGGAGGTCTGACATGGCTTGTCTTGGAGGGTCCAGACCCCTCCCTTTTATTACGAAATCTGGAGTACACCACACCACCCCGAAGTCGTCCCCTACCCTCCAAAAAGTCCGGGCATTGAAAAACAGCCCGCCACTGGTAATGTATATTCTCCTGCTTCCGACCAAGAGCACGGGGGTGGCTCGGGGCCCGGCGGCCGCCGTGCTGCGGGCGTGCGAGACGGGCCGGGGGCTGCCCTGGCGGCTCCCGCGCCTCCTCTCGCCATCGCTCGGGCGCGCGTTCCCTGTGCACGGGTTCGGTCGCGCGCGCGTCTCACTAATCGCACGAGACAATCGGGCTCCATTGCATCGAACAACACCCGTTTCTGATGACGTTTACGAGTAGACACTTTCTGAAAATAGTGGAAGGGCACTCGGTGACTGAAGCAAGAAGCTGCGCGTCCGACAGCGGCCGCCGCTGCTGGGCATCGCCTGCTGCTGGGCATCGTGCCAACGTTTCCCATCTCCACGTGAGGCCTGCCAATCGTGGAGGTCCGCGCGGACTGCCCGGATCGGGGCCGGGGCCCCTCCCTGGCGCTGGGAAGCAGCTGCCGGGGGGCCGTCGTACCTCCAAGGGTCCAAAAAGTCATTCTAAAGCCTCTGCTTGGGAACGACGAAGTGCCACTGAGCCCGATCAAGGGTCCGTCATGCCAGAATTGGCCTGGCCCAAGCCTGGGACTGCGCCCGATCGAGCCTGGATCTGACCTCCAGGGAGATGCATCCCGAGAGGAAGAGCTGGCGCCGCTCCAGGGCTTCGGCGCGGACGCCAAGCAAATCTTTCGAGACGGGGGATGCATCCACATCCACCGCCGGGGCACCGACGCCCCTGGGACCCAGCTGGCGGTGGATGTGGATATAATGTTTGGCACCCAGGGTTGGTAGGTCGTGCATGTCCCCATACAGGCGGATATTGAAAGGAAGCCAAGCATAGTCAACACATTTTGCTCTGCTGAAGAAAAGGTTCAAACATAGTCGAAACGTCGTCCAGACTGTTGTTTGACAATTCTTGAATATTCCTCCTGTAGAGGGACGCGGCCGACTCAAACCCAGGGGCCAAAATATACCCGTGCCCACCGCCTGTGGAGGTCCGCGAAAGTCCAGCCTCTGGGCGGCGGTTACGCATCCACCCCCGCCTCGAAAAAGTGTCTGCTCGTGCCGCGTCGTCTTCTTAATATTACTACGATTAGTATTATCAGTATTGTTGTTATTATCATTATTGATATGCTTAGTATTCGAATTATTTATTTACATTACTATTATGTTGTTTGTGATTGTTGTTCTTCTTAATTTTCTTTTTGCGTCTTCTTCCTCTTCGGCTCCTGGCAGGCCCGGAGCGCGCCCTTGAACTCCCCCTCCTGCCGCAGGACCCGCTCGGCCAGGTCCCGCAGCTCCTGGCAAGAGGCGGCGGCCGCGGAGCGGGCCCCGCGGCGCCGCGCGGGCCCTGGCTCGCCCGCCGGGGGCAACGCCGATCGGAGCCAGGGCGAGGAAACAGACGGGGGCACATAGGGGAACAAAAAGTGACATAAACATAAAAACGCAGAGGTCCGCGCGCCAGGATTCAGTCGGGCCCGTCCCCCTACAGGGGGATTCTAGACGAAAAATAAAAAAAGGCCCCCCAAAACCCCCCCAAAAATAGTCCCCAGACTAATGTTGGACCATTTGTTGACTATCTATGGGATACTTTTTATTTTACGTCGAAAATCCCACTGTAGGGCAGGCTCGACTTATAGCCAGGGCGAGGAAACAGACAGGGGCACGGGGACGCACCAGTGAACAGAAGACAGCAAATCCCCAGGGAGACCCAGGTGTTTCTGCATCTTCTGGAGGCTCGCCTCCCCCTCCGCTTCCCACATGTTCAGCGTGCTCTGGGGCATTGACGCTTCTCTGTGCCTGTGCTCCCCCCCCCTAAACGATGACCATCGGGTGAGCGTAGATCGAGGGCCTTTGAGACCCGGCGGCTCTGGAGGCTGTCTCGGGAGCCACGGCCCTCTCACAACGGGGGCGGCCAAGAGTGGGGGTGCAAATCATGGCCGGCGGCACGAGCGCGGCCTAGGTGGGGGGTGCCAGGGACGTAATGAAAGAAGAAGAGGCGCCAATGACATCTGAGGAAATATCATGGCCCACGCCATGATATCTACCCCTCCCAGGTCATCACCCCCCTCTTTGCCGCCCCCGATCACAGCGTCCCAGAACGCTCCGAGAGCGTTCCGGCACGCTCCGGAACGGATTCGTCCTCGCCCTGGCCCCGTCCGAGAGCGGCGCCCATCCCAGCAAGATTGGTCAACATCGGATCGGGCAATCGGATCGCATCGGAGCGAGCATCGAATCGGCCTGCACTGCAGCGGAGTCGGCATCGAGTCGGATCGGCCGCGTCGGGACGCACAAGCACCGCCGTGCAAGGAAGGCACCGCGCCGCATGGGGTCGTCGGAGTGTCGGAGTCGAAGCAGCAGCGGGAGACCCCGTGCGGCACGTTCCCGGGTCCTGGTGCGCCTCCCTCCTGCGCTTCTGGAGCGCCTGCACCTCCGGCATCCCAAAGATCAGGTCGTCCATCAGCAGGTCAGCCCCCACCAGCTGCTGGAGCTCGTCCTCGGAGGGAAACGAAAACCTGAACACGGAAACATCGGCATCGATCTGGGTCATCGCCCATCGAGATCATCGTCAAACCGTGGCGCCTCCTCGCGAACCGGCGACGGCTGGCATGGACCGCGAACAATGTTCGATGCTATCGACCATGCTTTCGACGAGTCCTAGATCTGTTGAAAACACTCTCGAAGTACCATCAATGCGCCTGAAATGGTTTTGAAAGTATGCAATCCAAATCCGCCCCCAACAAAGTCCGATAATTCTTCCCAAAGCGAACAAACGACAAGCGCACTACATAACGTTCCCGAATTGTTGTACTACGTGCGCGTATAAGTCTACCAATACTACAACGCATTGTGCACGCGTAATGAATTGCATTACGCACGGTTGGCTGCAAGCCTAAACCGTTACCGACCTCGTTGCGCGAGCGTTTCGGTACATAGCGCGTTGCACGCTGCATCAACCACAGCACGGCTATCGAGGTCAACTTGATAGGGCCACAAACACCACCCCAGCCCAACCCAACCACATCCCCATGAACTTGCTCCGTCGTCTGACGTCCGTCGTACACCTGTACAGCTTGCGCCGCCTCCTCCTCCTCCTCCTTCCCCCTCCCCCTCCCCCTCCCCCTCCCTCCCCCCCTCCCCCTCCCCCACCCCCTCCCTCCTCCTCCCCCTCCTCCTCCTCCTCCTCCTCCTCCTCCTGGCGCAAGCCGTGAGAAGGAGGCGGCAGCTCACACGCGTACCTCTTGCGCCCGTCGCCTGCTCGCCCACGCGGGGCCGCTTCAGCTTCCAGCGTGCCCTCTATAGGGGCACCGCCGAGGCCGCGCGAGGCTCCTGGAGCCACGCGCGCCCGAGCGGAATATGCCTAGACGACGCCCGCAGCAACCACGCAGAAAAAAAAGCAATCCGAGAACGACCATGGCGGCCCAGAACATCCAGGGTCCCGCGAGAGCCTGGATTAGCGGGCGAAAAACGGTATAACATAAACTGTTTCGCCGTCGGGGACACCTGCCCCAGATCGGCTGGAAAGTTTGTACCCTTACGGTGGCACCGTAAGGGGATAAACTTTCCAGCCGCCCAAGGGCAGGCGCCCCCGACAGCGAAAAAGTTTATGTTATACCGTTCTTCGCCCGTTAACTTGAGAGGGGCACCACGACAGGGCTGAACCTGAACGGTGTTCTTCGTGATCGTGTTGTTCTCGCTGTCCCTCGTTGTGTCCTCCATCCGCCTGAAACGCAAAACGGAATCGAAACGGAGACGGCCCACGAAATCGCCAAAACACCGTTTAGGCCCACCCCTGCACCACGAGACCACCGACGGCCTCCGAGCAGCAGACGAGTTGCAACCAATGCCTCCCGAAAGTGGCAGAACATCTGGGGCGTTCGATCGAGGCTCGAGGCTGCCAAGCACCTCACGCTCCCCCTTGACCTGTCTGTCTACGGACGGCTCAAGACAAGCCCAGAACGGCCCCGACATGACCTCAGAACGGCTCCGAGAGGGCACTAGATGGCGTCATGGCGGCCCGAGAGGCCCCCAAAACGCCCCAAGATGCTCCCAGGAAGACCAATGGTAGAGGTGATGGCGGTGATGATGCTGGTGATGATAACACTTACTGTTCTTTCTGCTGGTGAAGAGCATGATGGCGATGATGCTGATGATGAGTATGATAATGACGCGGGTGATGAGTATCATGATGGTGATGGTGATGGTGATGATGATGATGATGATGATGATGATGATGCTGATGATGATGGTGGGGATGATGATGCTGATGGTGATGCTGCTGACAATGCGTATGGCGGTGATGATTGTGATGATGGTGATGGTGCGTACGATGATGGTGATGATGCGCATGATGCGTATGTTGATGAGAATGATTATGATGATGGTGATGGTGATGCTGATGATGGTGATGCTGATGATGATGCTGATGCTGATGATGATGGCTATGATAATGATGGTGATGGCGATGATGATGATGATGGCGATGATGATGCTGCTGTTAATGATGATGATGATGATGATGATGATGATGATGATGATGATGATGATGGTGCTGGTGATGTTGTTGATACTAAGGCGGATGGTGATGATGATGATGATGATGATGGTATCCTTAATTGGTAGGATGGTGATCATGGTGATGGTGCTGACGATTACGACGAGGATGTTGATTATGCTGATGGAGGCTATGATAGTGATGGTTACGATGATGCTGACGATGCTGATGACTATGACATTGCGGATGGATATGATGACTCTAATGATGAGGGGGCGAGCGGGAGAATGAGGGAGGGGCTGGAATGCTGCGAGGGTTTCCCAGACTGGGACCCCGATGGTTTTCAATCGGTATCCCCCTCGTCCGCGTCGTCTCCCTCGTTCGCCTCTTCGATTTCCCTCTAATGCTCCACCTCCTTTTACCTCCTCCACCTCCTCCTCAAGCCTGTTGAGGACCGAGAGGGCACCCCATCCAGTCTGGAGGTTCTCACCCACCCCACCTCATCCTTCTCTTCTCTACCTCTACCTCTACCTCCTCCTCCTCCTCCTCCTCCTCATCATCATCATCATCAGCATCATTCATCATCGTCATCAGAATCATCATCATCATCATCAGCAGCATCAGCATCAGCATCATCAGCATCAGCATCAGCATCAGCATCATCATCATCAGCATCATCAGCATCACCATCACCATCACCATCACCACCATCATCATCAGCAGCAGCATCATTGTCGTCATCATCAGCATCATCATCATCATCATCAGCATCATCATCATCAGCAGCATCATCATCATCATCATCAGCATCCTCTCTCCTCCTCCTCCTTCTCATTCACCTCCTGTTCCTGGTCCTCCTCCTCCTCCACCTCCTCCTCCTCCTCCTATTCATCATCCTCCTCGTCCTCCTCCTCTTCCTCCTCCTCCCCCTCCTCCCCCTCCTCGCTTCCGCCTCCCCCTCCCCCTCCTCCTCCTCCTCCTACTCCTCCTCCTCCTCCTCCTCCTCCTCATCCTCCTCCTCCTCCTCCTCCTCCTCCTCCGCCCCCTCTTCCCAATCCTCCCCCTCCTCCTTCTCCGCCTGCTCCGCCTCCCCATCCGAATCCTCCTCCTCCTCATACTCCTCCTCCTCCTGCTCCTCCTCCTCCTGAGCCAGTGGGCAAGGCCTGGATTTCGCCGAGCCGCGACCAATTAAGGAGGCCAGTGATAATGCCACGCTGCACTCAATCCAGCTGCTCGAAGCAATCGAGGAGCAGTGCACTTTGCCGTTCCAGCAACTCTTTGCCTTGATTGTCCTCACCCCGAAGCCTGATGGGGAACGAATTATCCTGGCGAAGGACCCAACCATATGCAATCGTGAATACTGCAATTGAGAATATCTTCTCGGTGGAGCCCCCTACGGGGCCACGAAACGTACGAGGGGTGCGCCGAAATGGGTGTGCGGGACGCATGCGGGCACACCCACTAGGGCCTTCGGTGGAGCTCCCTATGCGGCCACGAAGCGTGTGAGGGAGTTGACGAAATGGGTGTGGCTGACGCATGCGGGCGCGGGCACTGGGGCCTTCGGTGGAGCTCCCCATGGGACCGCGGAACGTTTGAGGGGTGTGCCGAAATTGGTGTGGTTGACGCATGCGGGCGCGGGCACTGGGGCCGAGGGGTGTGCCGAAATGGGCGTGCGGGACGCATGCGGGCACTCCCGCTGGGACCTTCGGCGGAGCTCCCTATGGGGCCACGGAACGCGTGAGGGGCGTGCCGAAATGGGTGTGGCTGACGCATGCGGGCGCGTCACTGGGGCCCTTCCGGGGAGCTCCTATGGAGCCACGAAACGTGTGAGGGGTGTGCCGAAATGGGTGTGGCTGACGCATGCGGGCGCGGGCACTGGGGCCTACGGTGGAGCTCCCTATGGAGCCACGAAGCGTGTGAGGGGTGTGCCGAAATGGGTGTGGCTGACGCATGCGGGCGCGGGCACTGGGGCCTTCGGTGGAGCTCCCTATGGTGCCACGAGACGTGTGAGGGATGTGCCGAAATGGGTGTGGCTGACGCATGCGGGCGCGGGCACTGGGGCCTTCGGTGGAGCTCCCTATGGAGCCACGAAGCGTGTGAGGGTTGTGCCGAAATGGGTGTGGGTGACGCATGCGGCCGCGGGCACTGGGGCCTTCGGTGGAGCTCCCTATGGAGCCACGAAACGTGTGAGGGGTGTGCCGAAATGGGTGTGGCTGACGCATGCGGGCGGCAGCACTGGTGCCTTCGGCGGAGCTTCTACTATGGGGCCACGAAACGTGTGAGGGGTGTGCCGAATTGTGTGTGGGTGACGCATGCAGGCGGCAGCACTGGGGCCTTCGGCGGAGCTCCTATGGGGCCACGAAACGTGTGAGGGGTGTGCCGAATTGGATGTTGGTCACGCATGCGGGCGCGGGCACTGGGGCCTTCGGTGGAGCTCCCTATGGAGCCACGAAACGTGTGAGGGGTGTGCCGAAATGGGTGTGGGGGACGCATGCGGCCGCGGGCACTGGGGCCTTCGGTGGAGCTCCATATGGAGCCACGAAACGTGTGAGGGGTGTGCCGAAATGGGTGTGGGTGACGCATGCGGCCGCGGGCACTGGGGCCTTCGGTGGAGCTCCCTATGGAGCCTCGAAACGTGTGAGGGGTGTGCCGAAATGGGTGTGGGTGACGCATGCGGCCGCGGCCACTGGGGCCTTCGGTGGAGCTCCCTATGGAGCCACGAAACGTGTGAGGGTGTGCCGAATTGGGTGTGGGTGACGCATGCGGCCGCGGCCACTGGGGCCTTCGGTGGAGCTCCCTATGGAGCCACGAAACGTGTGAGGGGTGTGCCGAAATGGGTGTGGGGGACGCATGCGGCCGCGGGCACTGGGGCCTTCGGTGGAGCTCCCTATGGAGCCACGAAACGTGTGAGGGGTGTGCCGAAATGGGGGTGGGGGACGCAAGCGGCCGCGGGCACTGGGGCCTTCGGTGGAGCTCCCTATGGAGCCACGAAACGTGTGAGGGGTGTGCCGAAATGGGTGTGGGTGACGCATGCGGGCGCGGGCACTGGGGCCTTCGGTGGAGCTCCCTATGGAGCCACGAAGCGGTGTACTGGGTGGGTGAAGAGGAGTGGAGGAGAGGAGGGGAGGAGAGGAGGAGAGGAGAGGAGAGGAG